ACCAATTAACCTCAACATGTTTCTGGACTGTGGGAGGAAGCCGGAGAACCCGGAGAGAACCCACGCTGCACGGGGAGAACATGGAGACTCCACGCAGGAAGATCCCGGGTGTCCTCACCGGGACGCCAACCGGCGACCTTCTAGCTGTGAGGCCACGGTGCTAACCACTGAGACACCCTGCATCCCTATACTTGGCCAGTAAAGCTGATTTTAATTCTCATTCTGATAAAGAATTATCTTATTTATCCAAAACTGCACAGTAAGTTTGGCTGAATTGTGTTGGTTAAGAATATCTGCAACATTACACCAGGAGAGAAAACTTTTGGGTTTTGTTTTTCATGATGCGTTCACAAGCAGATGCAAGATTTGCAGTTTTGCAGAAAAATCCAAATTCTGAATTCAGTTCCAAAGTTTCTCTGACAGTTGGTGATCTGCTTTCTCCATCACCACTAGAGGGGATCTTCGCCTTATGGTTGAAAAAATAAAGTTTTAGTAGGTACCTGACTCCAACCAGTCCCTCAGCGCGGCGCATTTACAGCCTGTTTGGTTGATTCTGAGCAATATCTTACACAGCTGTTTAAGCATATTTTCTTCATCAGTAGAAATGTGTAATTAAATAATTTAGAGTGAGTTGTGAGTGGTTTCACAAAGACATGCAATTTACTTAACAAAATACGATGACATAAAGAAAACTATTAAAGCAAATCACAGTAAAAATGACTCAGCACTCGGAAATTAAAGGCCAAATATTCAAACGAAATTCTACACATATACCAGAGAAGCATAATAAAACAAATACCTTCTTGTCTAATCGTAGACGGACTGCGACAGACGGATCCCTAATAAGTCCACAGGTAGACTTTATGATGCTGTCTATTTTGAATTTATGGGACTAAAATAACACGACTGCTCGTGTCCCAAACAAACCATAAAGTCCGCTTCAGACAGATGTTCAAAACAATCGCTTCAGAAAGTAAATACTTTTCCATTCAGCGCTAAAACTAATAGGCAGCAGGTGCCAAGACTGTGAAAGAGCTCTTCTGTAAATTGTCAGGTATTAGCCAAAACCCTGTCTGTAGAATTTGTGCTACGGCTATAAAAGAAACCTCATTTTGTCATAAAAGTCAAGTGGAGCTCCAGATTTTAAAGTCAGAATTATATTTGTGCAGTTACAGCTCCTTACGAGTAGCCGTGAATGCAAAATTTATGGTTAACTTTGGTTTTAAATCAAAAATTGAATACCTAAAATGGGCATAAATATGATGACAAACAGCACACGTCACTGTTTCAAGAAACCTGAGCCAGAAATCTTATTAAAGAGAAATCAACTCAGACTCTTTAACCCAGAATAAATAAAACATTTACATCAGACTGATACTGTGGTCGGTTTGTTTTCTTTAATATCCTCTAAAATACGCCAGTTTGTGAACGCATCATGGCCCCTGTCTGCTTTACTGCTGGTGATACACAGTGAGAAGCTCTGATGGCAGCAGAATGTATTGTTTAATGAAATAAGAGCAAATATTAATACAGATCTATCCTGCCACGGTGCAGATAGTGTGCCTTTGGGTTCTCTATGATCTGCCTCCGTGCTTTCATTCTAACATATTCCCCCTCTTTGCATTTTGTCATTCTTGCACTGAGGCCTTTACATGAGGACAGTGTGTGTGTGTGTGAGTGTGTGTGTGTGTGTGTGTGTGTGTGTGCGTGCATGAGGCTTCTCTTGAAAAGAGAAAAAACTGTGCAGCTGCAGTGGAGTGACATGAACACAAATATTAAGATTAAATAAACTCTTGCATCCTCCTTCCTGTTGCTCAGACGGGTTGCAGACGGCGTCCACCCGTATTTACAGTTAAAGTCATCAGGGTGGGATCTTTTAATTGAGCAGACGGAGTGATTACAGCAAGCAAAACCTGTTTCAGTGTTCTGGAAACAGACAACAGACCTGTTTTTAACAAAGAGAGAAAACACAGCAGTTTGTACCACAGCAGAAGCAGAGGCTGATCCCTGGTCACTGAGGGATGTGCAGCTGATGGATAATGTGTGGGGAGAGCTGTGGAGAGCAGCTTTGACAATGATCAATTGTGAGCGTTTTTGTTGTGGTTGGATGACTTAGATTCCTTTCAAACATATGACTGTGGGCACGACTGCTCCCATAAAACCAATGAAGTGTGACAGTTTCATATTCGCGATATCGTCAGGTTCACTGCTTTATTTAGGCAGATTGGATTTTTTGAACTGATCAAATATTTTTAGGCTGATCTCACTGGACTCCTAATGGCAGGTTTAATGGATCGTTCTACTGCTTTACTAAACAGAACCAAGAAACCAGCAGATGCCAGCGGACCACCTCGTCCCTGGTTCCAGTGACTTGTTATCCAGAGCTAGTGAACTGTGTGGAGCCTTGCTGACAACATGACCTGCCATCACCACTACGTCCTCCAGAGAAACAGTGACTGTGTTAACGCCGCATCCTCAAGATTCAAGATTAACTTTATTGTTCCAGGCTGCAGCCAACACAAGCAGACACACACAGGAGAAACACAGATAGAATAAATGCATGCATACGTACATGAGGTAAAAACAGAATAAACATGAACATCATCGTCTAATTTCATGAGTCCACAACATGGTGTTTTAAAAAACACAATTCAAGCTATTTTCTTATTAATTAGCCTGACTGAAGCTGGAACAAATGAATTTTTAAATCTGTTCTATCAGCAGCGCAGGACTTCCTCCAGAACCACTCGTACTCAGTACCAGTGGTGACAAGTTCAAATTGTTTTGGACCAATTTTCAGTCGATGTGGGCATTTTATAAAGTCATTTTTGATTAATTTTGAGTCATTCTAACATGTTTGAAGATATTTTAGATGTTTTTTGAGTCGTTTTGGACAAGTTTTAAATACTTTTGGACTATTTTTAAGTCACTGGACATGTTTTAGGGTCATTGTTGTGATTTTTGAGTCATTCGTGACATGTATGAAATTACTTTAGACATTTTTTGAGTCACTTTGAACATTTTTTGTGTCATTTAAATCATTTTTGAGTCAATAGCGACATGTTTCGAGTTAATTAGACCATGCAGTTGTGGGAGAACCGAGCAGAACCAGGATCCTATGAGGTTATTGATGCTTACAGACAAACAAGGCTTCTCTTTTCTTTGGCCCATGACCATTTTGTGACTCTAAGGTTTTGCTTGTTGCTGTCTTTGGTTCATTAAGTGACCTTTTTGGTTGGTATTTGGCTTTTCTTAGCTAAGAAACATTTGGATTGACATTTTGTTGGTCCTCTGGAAATGTGTTTCAATAACAGTTAACTCCACATCCGGGGAATCCACCTCCACCTCGTCATCATCCTTTTACAACGAGGAGAGAACTGCAGCGTGTCTGCTTCCACTAATCACGCCTTTGATCATCTGGCCCTCCTCGTGAACCTGCAGAACATGAGAAACTTAGCACCACACTTAGTTTTATAAATCTGTGAAGCAGATCAATGAGAGACGGGAAAGCTGCACCTGTCCTCAAGCCGTCCTCGGGTCTCTCCTCGCTGATCTTTTTCTTTCATAAATTAAGTTGCTTTAATGTACACCAGCCCTCCTTTCATGTGTCACTTATCCTAAACATCTTCTCACAGATCCACTTTATCTCTGACAGACTCATCCCGCTCAGACACACTAACTCACTTTATCAGTCTTCTCGATTTCAGGCGGTTATTTTAGACGCTGCTACAAATAGCCAAATCTGATGTTACGTAAGAAACTCAGACAAATGAGCATGAAAGGGTAAAAAACAAAAAAAAGGGCTGTCAGATCTGGAAAGATGTGATAAGTTAATGTTTGAGATTAAATTTTTCATGCTTAAAGTGTTCAGCAAACATGGCAGACCTACTTAGATAATCACACAGAAGCAAACGAATCCACGGCCGCTGCTCTTCGTCTGTTTACATCACAGGGTTGTAAATGAGCGACAACAAGTGCTGCAGCATCAGCCAACAACCAGCATCTTCATATTTCTGCCATTCAAGAGTTTGTCCTCCACGTTTAGCCTCCTGACCGTCTGAGTCTTAGGCCGAGGATTTATCACCAGCACGACCAAGGACACGGGACGGCAGCGCTTCTGTAAACATGTGAAGCAACTCCAAGATAAATCCATATTCATCCCTGACATTTTAGATGTCGGAGGTGGACGGACGGATAACTCCTTAACAACTATCAGATATCTCTTCATTAATTCATCGCTCCGTCCATCCGGTCCTTCTGCTTGACTTTGATTTTATGTATTTTGCAAGAAACGCTGAAAACGCACACCAGAAATAAACCGATTAAGTTTATTTCCATTGATGTATAGTTCAAAATAGCAAAGAATGCAGATTAAATGTGACACAAACTGCATTAAAGGAGTAATTTAAAATTTAGGAAATAAGACAATTTGATGTCTTTCCAGGTTATCTGTGAAATAAGCACAATTTGACATTAAAAAATTGCAAGGATGTTCAAAATACATGGAAGAAAAGCAGTGGTCCTATCAGGTCAAGGGAAAACTACAGAGACCGATCGATCTATCAGCTATTAATAAGAGGCTATAGTGTGATTAAAAAGTGATATTTCAGGCTGATCCATTCCTCATAATGAGCGCGTTCAGGCTGCCTGTATAAGTGATCTATCTGCAGTAAAGGAGAAAATCCCTAATTAATGTCCCTCCCTCTGCTGTGACCTGACAAATAACAACAAGCCTCAGTTACCAAGGAACACAGATCCAGGGATTAAACAGAACGTCCACCGTCAGGATGGAGGGATGGTGGAGGTCTGTTTTGGTGGTTGGTTTTTATCATTTTGGGCTTTTAAGGGGATTAGATGACGGGGAGCAAATTGGCCGGTGAGTCACTGAGATCACTGATAAGGTCGGTACCTAATCCAGGAAGTGACCAGGAGCTCCAGTATAAAACCAGACGGACCAGAGCAGACCTCCTCGATGTAAAGGAGTCCTGTACAGAGGCGCGATGCAGGGGAAGCTTTCTCTCAACATGGTAAGGCTTTAATAATCTCTGTATGACCCACTGGTGCTTTGGTTCTCTGGACTGACTGGTTTCTTCTGTATTTCCAGGTAAACGCTGCGACTACGACGGGCTCCATGAAAACAGCTGGACTGTCTCTTCTCCTGTTGTCTTTTCTTCTGTACATAGCTGATTCTTACCCCAACGTCGACCTTTCAAACAGTAAGAACTGCTCATAGCACAAAACCACTGTGTTTACTGATAAGATGCCCGACTGGCTCGTGATTTGGTCGGTAATTAATGAAAGAGGTGCAAAAACCCCACAGCTCAGTGAATCAGCTCCATCTTTAGGTATTTTTTAAATATATTCCAGCTGACACGGCGCTACAGGTTGTCCACTCTGCTCTCTGAACCGTCTTCTCTAGTGGGCTGCGAGGAGTGCACGCTGAGGATGAACAGTTTCTTCTCCAGGGATCGGCCCATTTACCAGTGCATGGGCTGCTGCTTCTCCAGAGCGTACCCGACGCCTCTCAAGTCCATGAAGACCATGACCATCCCAAAGAACATCACCTCAGAGGCCTCGTGCTGCGTCGCAAAGCACAGCTACGAGGTACACGAACCTTTACTTTACACTTTCTGCCTATTTACTATCATTTGTACCGGTTTCCTACCCCTCCTGTTCAGTGTAGGCTTAGAACACATGAGTGGATGATCATTTCAGGGGCTGCAGGTGGATCAGTGGTTAGCACTGTGGCCTCACAGCTAGAAGGTCGCCGGTCGGCGTCCCGGTGAGGACACCCGGGATCTTCCTGCGTGGAGTCTCCATGTTCTCCCCGTGCAGCGTGGGTTCTCTCCGGGTTCTCCGGCTTCCTCCCACAGTCCAGAAACATGCTGAGGTTAATTGGTGATTGTAAATTGTCCGTAGGTGTGAATGTGAGTGTGCTTGGTTGTCTGTCTCTAAGTGTAGCCCTGTGATAGACTGGTTACCTGTCCAGGTGAACCTGCCTTCACCCTGAGTCAGCTGGGATAGGCTCCGCCCCCCATAACCCTGGTGAGGATTAAGGTGTAGAGATGATGGATGGATGGATGGATGGATGGATGGAACTCCCCAGATGGTTTAAATTAGTCACAAGTGCTTTTGCTGTTGATACCGAATTCCCAATTACATTATAACACTTATGTGCTTTTTTTTTTTTTTAAATCAGACTTTAAATTCTACTCATGTATTTACACGGTGTGTTAATAAAGAATACGAGCGCTTCCTCCACCACTCGTTTAGTTTTAATTTACTTCCCACTTAGTTTCAACTCAGCTGCTAACAGAATGCACACATCCATTCATACAGTCTCTGGACTGCTTGTTATTAATCATCTTTTTTTTCCTTCTTCCTCTGTTCCTCTGACAGACAGAGGTAGCTGGCATCAAGGTGAGAAACCACACACACTGCCACTGCAGCACCTGCTATTTCCATAAGATCTGACCGACGAGGACCAGAGAACGTCCTGCAGCGCCAGAGTTTCTTCTCATATGCACGAGCTCTTGTCTGTGTTTAACGTGTGTGCTTACAACAGCCAGGTGATGTTTTTGTAGTGTTTCTGTCTGTGATGAGTAATCAGCCTACGTATCGATCACTGTATTTAATAGTGGATTTGAAAAGCAATTAAAATATACACCAAGAGGTTGCATTTTAACGAGTGTGTCTTTTATTGAACTCCGTGTGACATAGTGTGTGTTTTTAGGGAAATGTGTGTTTTTTTACTCTATTAAATCAATGTAACATAAAGAAACGAAGGTGCACATCAAGAGGAAAATAAGAATCTACTTGTTGATCAGCTCCAGATTTGATTTTCACATCAGAAATGGAGGCAAAATACTTCAAGCACCCAGTAAAAAAAGCTGAAACTGAGATTTAAAGCGACGTAAGAGAGATTCTCATCAGTGATTCTAACCTCTGGTGGAATCAATGAGGCTAAACTCACCATAACTTTACTTCCTGACTCAGTTTCCTGATCAAAAGCTGCAGAAGCGCTCACAGGGTTTATTTGATTGATTTAAAATTAAACACCCGTTTTCGGTGTGTTGATTGTGACTAAAGAAAAACGTGTAGGGAAGCTCCACCTGTTTGTTTGTGAGCCATGAGGGTAAAAGAAAACCCCAGAAAGTCACTGAAGGCACCATGTAGTGACTCCTCTGCTGGAGGGGACACTTCAGGGGTTCATGCTCTTCATGATGAGGAGGTAACACCTGATGGTCCAGCTGCTGCTGCCCTTCTGGATGAGATGATCAGAGGCCACATGGACTCACCCTGATGGAGAACATCTGTCCCACTGGATCTGGCCTGCTGTGAACCCTCTAACTACCCTGATGGGGCAATAAAGATGGGACTATTTTAGAGAAAGGGGGCATCAGGGGTTGGTTCAAACTTTTGTGAAAGCTTTCTGTCCACCTTGCTTGTACAGAGGGTCCCTGGCTGGAGGTCACTTCTCACCTGCGGTATCGGCGCACATTTGCCCCATGCGGCGTTCAGGGAAACCCCGATCGGTCACGCCGAGGCGGGCGACTGCACGCGTGGCGGCCCGTGTGCGGGGTGTGAGCGCCGTACCTGCGGGGTCGCGGATGCTTTGTTGACATCAGCGGTGGATGTATGTGGAGCACACAGTGTGCTCTCCCCTCCCCCCTGCGTGCGCGTGCGTGTGCGAGTCTGGCAGCGTAACATCTGTGCGTACGCGGTCGTGATTGTTGTGAAGATGGCGGAGGGGGAGACAGAGAAGGAATATGACACACGGAAAGCTATCGAGGAGCTCCGAGAGCGCTTCCAGGGTCTGACCACAGCTTTGAAGGAGAGCTCGCAGTCTCCGCTGGAAGCCTCCCTGCATTTCTGCCAGGAGTTCTGCCAGGTTAGCCCGTTATCCCGCTGCTCATCCCGGGCAGCCTGCAGCCCCTCTGGCTTCCTGGCCGAGGATGCGCGTCTACGTTTGCTACAACAATGTAGCTAAGGAGCTAGCTGCCTAGCTAGCTGCCTGGCATTTCGAGATGGGGAAAAAAACTCCGCGGCGCTTTTCAGCCGCTCTCGCTGTGATGTTTGCATGTGGCATGCACTTATTTGCAAAGTGTGACTATCCACGCGGCGAGAAGTCACGCCAGTGTCCGCCCACTGTGCATGTATTACTCGTATTTTCCAGGCCAGAGAGCTAATAGCAGATGAATGCTGCTAGCTGGTATGCAGGGTCCCCCTGTCCTGTGCAGTGGTCATGCTGTGCAAAAAATGGATAGCTACGTTAGCGAGATTTTCCGGGGCGATTGCATTGATATGCACTGAGATCTATCACTGCTGAAGCTGTGGAAAATACCATCTAACCGCCGTAAGGCTGCATCTCCACGCGTGTGGAGGCTTTAGCTTGGTGTAAAATTGGGTTACTTTTGTGAAGCTGTTTTATTGTACGGAAAGAGCAATGATTTTTCCAAGGTGCTAGCCCGGGCCTCCTGCACTAATTAATCCGGCTAACCTCATCATCGGACACGTTAATTATCGTATAATAGGCAGTAAGAGCAGAAGATGTGGAGCTGGTGTCAGCGTTAAGCAGCGATCCGCCTGCAGCTGCCGAGATGGTGGTTTTAGGGGAAAGTGTGGCAGCTCTGGTCACTGACTCCATTACACATCCTGCTCATTAATTGGCGCTGATCACGTAAATATAACACCGAGGCTCCATTTACCTGCCGGGCAGCGCACGGTATTGTCACGGCTCTGGATGAGCGCGGGGTCGTGGTTGGGTTTGATCCCGGTACCGAGGAATTCATTGAAGTTTAAAGTTATTTGAGCAGAAGGGGCTGGAGGCTCCGGCAGGGAGCTGGGCTGCATGCACTTCAGTTGTGTTACAGATTTCTCTCAAACAGCGAGGACAATGAGGTGATTCAGCATGAAACGGGTGAATAGTGTGTTAGAGAGACGCTGTGGGTTGGTGGTGATGAGCAGTTAGTTGGATGATAGAGAAAAAAAAAAAAAAAAGATGGAGGATAAAAACGCTTTTTTTTTTTTTTTTTTTTTGCAGAGCCACACATAACTTTGCTGCTTTGTTGTCTCAGACGTGTACATCTCCACCAAACTGTGTCATAAGTGTGTGATAACACAGCAGTTATTCATGCATAATAATTATAATAATTGTTATTATTGTTGATTGTTTGTATTAGTGTGATTAGTGGTATTTTTTCTCTTTTACTGGAAAAGTTAATTTTGACATTTTAATATCAGACATGGATCTAAATGTGCATTTTCACTGATCATTATAACTCAGCAAGAAAGATTATGAAGCCCACATCAGAATAATGGCCAAGTTCAAACACAACATACAAGGAATTTGGCTTTGGTGTCGCCCCAGGAATGAGCAGGAATAGTAGAAATAGGAAAATCAAAAATAGAGTAAAACAACTATAGAAAGAATATATAAAAATATGTGCAAGAATTTACACACCTGAGCAAAAAATATGTGTACATTGATGTAAAATAGCAGTGGGTTAAAAACCTTTTTTTATATCTGGTTTGTATTTAGTCTTTTCCTGATAACGCCAGAATCTGTGTAAAGGAAACGATAACAGAGTTTGTCTGCTTGTATTTATTACACTTGTACGACTGGCTTGACCCGCTGAGCCGTAGAAATATTAAATGTTTAACCGTACTTAACAAAAACCAAACTTATTTCCATTATCGACTAATTTCCCAAAAAGTTTTTTAGATGAATTATTTTAGTCTCTGCCCATCAGCACCTCGTTGGTTGTTTCATGAACCCAGAGACATTAAGTGCAGCATTAAATGGAGAAAATGAATTTATATTTGAGAAGCTTGAAACATTCATGATTATTTGTTAATGCAAAAATACACAGCGAGTTTTTCCAAAAAAAATGTTTTGCACAGCAGTCCATAAGTACACATCTTACTCTGAGATTTGCAGAATGAATATTTGCTCTGACTGAACTTTTTCTGCCTTCAGAGCTCCAGCAGTTGGCGCCTTATTCTAATCGTTGGTGTGTTTTTTTCCCAGGTGCTGGTGGAACATGCCGGTCGCTGGAAAACGGATGAGAATCCACTGCCCTTGCTGGAGGTCTACACTGTGGCAATCCTCAGCTTCGCTAAGGCCGCCTCCTGTCTCTCCTCCGAATGTGAAAACGTGCCACTCCTACTTGAAAAGTTAGCACTGTGAGTAGCAACCCATCTGTGGATGTATGAGAGCGTTTAAATCCTTTTCTGACCTGTAGTGTGTGTTACAGTCGCATCCCCAATAAGTCACGGCGTTTAGCGTTTAGATTAAAGCGGCGATGAATAGGTTAGCCCGGGTTTAAGTCTGTGCGTAACATTTGTTCACTTTGTCGCTCTGCTGGTTGTTGTCAAACAGATCTACTCGTCGTTAAGAGAGGCAGCAATCTTTTAGTGTATTTGGAAAGACGCACAGCATTTGGCAATAAGAATAAGCAAAACATGCCCGAATCCCAGAGGAAATTTAGACATGAGAAGTTTGTAAATACTCTGCAAACAGTCTACAGGAGCCGCTCAGCTATTTGCACAATGTGCCGCTACGAAGGCCTGGAGGCTGCGATGCAGAATAGAAACGCCGGGGACCTCTTGGGGAGCGACATATTTGGGATGAGCCGCAGAGAACGCTGTGCACACGAAGGTGCTGCGTGGACGTAAAACGAGGGAAATCAGAGACGTAACCTCATTAATTATCGATCGTAAATACAGATTCTGATCCTTCTGATTGTTAATTGTCATTAAACCCATACGAGAAACAACAACGATTATTTAAACACTCACTCCTACACTGCTGCTCAGTTATAATCCCGTTTTTCCTGCTCACCATCTGTTATATTTCCAAAACGACACTCTGACTTTACGGCAACTGCGAATAGGTGCTCTTGTGTGGATGTTTTGCGGAGTGTGCGCACATCCTTGACCTAAATCTGGCTTTAACAAATGGCTGTGTGGGATTCACAGGAGCTGTGCGGAGCTGCTGCTCTTACTGCCCCAGCATGTCCCTGGTGCCTTATGGGAGGAGTTTCAGTCCTCCATGAAGGTCAGTATCCTCAGGGCTGTGCGTAGAGTTTTTTTTTTTTTGTAATTCTGAGGCTTATCTTTGCAGTGATAACCAAATGTAATGTTGTGTAGTAATTAGAATGCATGTGGCTCAGCGTTGGGGGTTGAGACGTTGGGCTCTTCCTACCTGTCATGGCATCATCACACTCTGGACTGTTTTTTACCAGCATTTAAGTAATTCAGTTATTACATATTTATTTGGCTTTTATTGCAGTTGGCACACGGCCTTTTGCAAGAAAGTGGGAGCACACAGCTCTGCCTGCTCTCGGTTCTGGCACAGCAGGACGGCGTCTGGTCCAACACCACATTAAGCAGCATCCTGTCCAATCAAATTCCTCAAACTGAGCAAGGTTAGTCCTCACTTCTTCTTCTTCTTCTTCTTCTTTAATTTGTTTGGAGACGCACCAATTCATACAGCTGT